CTCTTGGCCCAGGTCTCAGCAGTCAGCATGTTTTTTTTTTTTTTTCAGCAGACAGTTTTTGTGAGGGGGCTCTCTCTCTCTAGGGTCTCCATTCCAGCTTTAGTTTTACCCTCATAGCTTCACATTTTGCCCACTCATAAAAATCCTGCAGAGATTCCAACCCTACTACACTTTGCTTGATCTTCTAGATCACTCTTTGAAATATCTATGGAAAGCTTCATGACCCCCTAACTCTAGCATCTTGCATTCCTGCAGAACCAACACCACACGATTGACACAAAGATCTGCTGTCATCTCAAACAATAGCCAGGCCTCCTTCAACCATGGGTGCAATGGCTTCTGAAAAGGGTGGAAAAACTTGCTAGGTCCTCTGAGAGTGCAGAGTGCCTTAGTGTTCTCTTAAATGAATTTTCAATTTTAAACCAGTGAGCCTGTAATGGGTATATTCTTGCTGATTCCTGAGATGCCCTCAGGTATCTTTCCTAACTTCTCTGTGCAAAGTATTTACCATCTCTTTAGCAGGTATAGTCTCTTCAACAATCATACCTTCCTTGGCCCCAGTTTTACAAGCACTTCTGTGATCAAAATGGAAGTTTAAAAATTGTTTTGCTCTGCTAACTTCTGCTTCACAGTAAACCTAGCTAAAACCTGATAGCAATATTTATGCTTCTGCCTGAATCCTATGCTGTATTGAAATTTCCTCCACTAGATCAATTAGTCCATCCTTTTAAAATTCAGATTCACACCAAAGTCTCTGCACACAAGAAAATGTTAACAAGTTCTTTGCCAGAATTTAACACAAATGGCCTTTAGTCCAGTTCCCAATGGAGTCCTCTTTTCCCTATAAAACCTCTCAAAATAGTATTTATCTCATTCCTATAGGCATTCTTGGTCTTTGAGCTCCCACCAGAATTGCCTATTAAGCCCTGTTTAGAAGACTCTAAGTTTTCTTCAGGCTGCATCTCCAAACTTTTTCACACTCCTCCTACAAATCAGTTTCGAAGACTTCTGAAGCATGTGGTCAGGTATGACACAACAATGACTGCTCTCTGGATACCAATTTCTGTTAGTTTTTCATAGATATGACCAAAATATCTGATAAGAACAATTTAGAACATGAAAAGTTTATTTTGACCTCATGTTTTCAGAAATTTAGTCCACAGTTGGCTGACTGCATTGCTCTATGCCCAAGTTGAGGCAGAACATTATGGAGGAAGGGCATAGTGGAGGGAAGCTGCTCATTCATGATAATCAGAGAAAACACACAAAACAAAACAAACATGGAGGGAGGGAAAGAGGCCAAAGAGGCCACAGAGAAGAGTGACCCTTCCAGGATAAACCCCCAGTCACGAACCACCACCAGCCATGACCCACCTGCATATGTTTACCACCAAGTTCTTCTATTTGAACTAGGCTGAACTAATTTGGTTATGGTTCTCCTAATCTAATCATTTTATCTCCTGCATTAATAAAGGAGGCTGTGGGAAATTCTTCATATCTAAATCAAACAACTGCCAAAAAAAGGAAAAAAAGAAGTGCTACATTCTTGAATTGGCAAATATCAGATTTCAATACATGAGATATACTATGGATTCAATCACAGTTCCTATATACTATATTCATAAGCAAAAATATATGTTCAGAATTTATTGTTATAGGTGGAGTAGGTAATTGACAATTTATTGAGCACTCACTTTGCAGCATTTCTTTTCATCTAAAGTGAGACTTTTATTTTCATTTATTTCACGTTAAAAACCAACATTTACCAATAATAAAACCATATTTTTCAGGTGCTGAATTTTGTTGCCTATGTTATTGAGCAATTAAATAAATGGTTTTAGATGTTTCTTATTTGTATTTCTGAAAAGTTCTGATTTCATTTCTGAAATTGAAATACTGCTTTCTGATCTTCTACCTTTCCTTCCCTCCCTCTGGTCAATAATGCTCATTTTCCCTAGACTACATATGATGGACATTACACTAGGCTTCTAGTATAATGGGAATTAGCTTTAATTCCCAACATTTTTTATGACAGATTGGTGGTGTTACCAAGATAATCGGAGTCAAATCTATACCTTGAGGGATAAATATAATTACTTACAGAAATGAAAAAGTTGAAATAGCTACATGTACCATAATTAGAAACTAAATAAACTAGAAGTGAATAAATATAGTTGGCCACCAATTTAAATGATATTTGAACACTTAAATCGTTCTATGATATGGGAACTTTCATGCAATTCAAGGAGAAAACAATGTATTTTATGTTTTCATGTGTCTTCTCATAGTGGCTATATTTTAAGATCATAAATGACTCTTTCCATTTCATTATAAAAGCATTTTAATTCCAGTTTTTAAGTGTTTTCCTTTCCACATATAAGATTTATAAGGAAGTTGGGCATTGGGCCTTTTGATTCTAACAGTCAACCATTTGCCTAATCAAAAATGGAAACTGGAAACAGAACAGATCATATCTCTCTGTTTTACATTGTTGAACAATGTTAATTCTGACAACTGAAAAATCATACTAAGGAAAAGTGTCAGTAGCTTGTTTCAGCATAAAATGCAAGAAACACAGACCTCCTAAAAAGTTTGAATGACATACTGTCTATTCCATGGGTTGCAGAATTGTCTCCCTTTACAAATCACTTTATCTTCTCAACTCTGACTCAGCCCAGACACATTCTTTAACCATAAATTCACAATGTTGACTCTGAGTGAGACCTTGGGATTAGAAGCCTTCTGAGTGAGTGTAGGAATGGGGAAGGAGACAAGAATGTCAATTTGGGATTGCTAAGGGCATCAATGGAGCAGAACAAGAACATGTTGGTTCTCTTGGTCTTTGTCCCTGATTGCATAGCGAGTCATTGTTGAGAAATGTTTCCTCACCTGACATTCCAAGAAATGGAACTCTACCACTGAGTTGTAGTTTTGCCATTAAAAACGTGGACATTCTATCTCCCTGGAATAAGAAAATTTCTAGAACCAGAATGTGTTCTGAAATCCTTTTCAGAAATGCTGCCATCAAGTGGTACTTTGGAGCCATGACCAGAAAGGAGATTCCTGTGAAGGGTCATATGGTTTGTCTCAGGATGGCTGGGCTCCAACAAAATCTATTCCTATAACTCTCTAAATTCACATTTGAATCATTACTGTGGGCACAGAGCAAACTACAGTGAAAGCTGTGGAAATCTTGTTGTTTTTAGAATTTGCAGACTTCCCTTCACTAAATTGAAAACATGACAAGCTTCTATGGGTCATGTGCTTAAAGGGGAAAAAAAGAAAGTAGTTTTAAAAGCAAGAGTAAGAGATGTTGTTTTTCAACTTTATAACCTGCATGTTTTATATTTTGTCAATATAGGTACCATCTCAATTATTAAAGTGTGCTACTAACCTACAAACCAATGGTAAATATTCATTTGGAATATGTCCAACTCAAAAGAGACATATTTTACCCCCACCAAATGTCCATGAAATCTATGGATTAGTTATACTACTACTAACCCTGCAGGAAATTTTGTAATCTACATATTAATAGAAATATTTGGCAAATAGGACTGACGCTTCAGAGCTAATATAATAATAGAATCATTTATTTGTAATCTCAATTTACACATAATTCTTTTCATGGAGGTGTAAGATAATAATAGTGTGATCTCCATTTCACAACAGAGAAAGGAGAATGAGGAGGAGAGTAATCTCGACAACATGAAATATTTAAAATGGGTTCAGAGCTCTGCTACCCTGACTTCTGCTACAATATTCTGTCGTCGTCTGTAATTTTCTCTCTCCTACTCCTTTTAAATACTCAAGAAAGTTTTTTTAATATATTCATTAATTTTTTTTCTTATCAAGTAGCCAATATTCCTGGGAGAAAAACTAGAAAAAGAAATATGATCTGTTTCTTTAGAAGTGTGCAAATTACTCTTTAATGTACACAATTTAAACATCTCACCTTACTTCCCATCCTGATGACATATTCCACTGAAAGGCATGACAAAGCACTACAACCTCCTCCTGCTATAAATTTCATTAATAGTTAACACACTCATGATCCTTAAAATATGCAGGGCATTTGCATCTACTGTGTGCCAGGCATTGTTAGTTTTACATATGGAATTCACTTGAACTTCTCAACAGTCCTGTGAGCTAGATAATAGCATCTGCAATTTATATGTGAGGAAACTGCATAGGTAGCTAAGGGATTTGCCCAAGGCCACACAGGTCATTAGTGACACAGTGAGATTGCAAGTCACAGTCTGGCTCCTGAAGCTTCACTTTCCAGCTCTCAGTCTAAAACAGCTTTACTTCTGGAACATCCAGGGTACATTCCCCCTCTTCTATTTATATAGTCATATAGCTATTGGATTCCTCACCTCTAAACAATTCAGCACAAGATCCAAGTCTTTGAAAGGTCACTTGGAAGTCCAACTTGAAGGGCATGAACAGGAATTTCAATGTCGCTCATGTCATTTATCTAGTGACAAGCTGCTGCAAACTTGAAATCACAAAATTGAGCTATTGGGTAATAATGGAGAGAGGAATGTTTCTGAACTTTTTGTCTGCCTGAACAATAGCCTTCTAATCTAATCAAAGTATAATGGTAGAGACAAATGTGCTTGGAGATATGCCTTATCTATAAATGAAACCAAAAATAAAATTCATCCTATTTCATTTCATTTAGGATTTATTTACATTAATCTTTTTTTATCCTACTCATTTGAGAAACTATAAAATAAAATCTTTGTAAGAACTATTTACTTTTTCCTTTTTTATGGAACCCCTAATTTCTCTTCCAGGAGGCTGAGTGCCAATTCCCTAAATGAAAAATCTAGTTAATGATATTGTACATAAGTAATGTTTTAACTGTAGATGTGTGTGTGTGTGTGTGTGTGTGTGTGTGTATGTGTGTGGTTATTTTTTTTAAAACCACAAAACCAGAGGGGGAAGTGTGGGAGCAGGTGGGCTGGGCAGTGGCAAAAACCTCATGACACATTTCTCCGCCTCCCGGAGTTGGTGGAGAACGTCTGGAGCAGCATTTAAATACTGGGAGGTTAGGGTTGTCAGCAGCAGGAAGAGGAGCCAGAGAGCACAGCATCTTCTGGCACTGGTCTCTCAGGTCACTCTCAGCCTTCTCCACCAGACACCAGCCAAGGTAAGCCTGCAGCTGGCTACTGTGCTGTGGGGTGTGCATTCAGTTGAATTTCATGGGGAAGTCCAAGTTGTAAGGAAAATAGTATTAACTGTAAGGCTGTTAATCAGACTTTTATTATTCTAGTCTTTTGAATAAGCAGGTCAGACGTATGACAGGTCTCCTGGATCAAAGGTTTCCAGGTATTTTGAAAGCCAGTCATATTTAAAACTAAAAAATACTTCCAGGGGTTCTCAAAGGACGTGAAATCAATGCTTCCATTCAGAAGGTAAAATTTTACATTCCTTTGGGATAAGTATGGCTACATCACTATAAGGGACTAGATGATCATGGAGGAAATTAAAACAAGAAGAATCTTTCATGCTAATATAAACTACTGATGAGGCTATTTTAAAAATTATTTATCTCATTTTTAAGGAAAAATAAAACCCTTTCTGAATATCTTACTTTTGCATGTTAAAATTTTCACCAACTGTAGACTCGTGATCCCAAACAGAAAATCTGTTAACTGTTTTCAATGTTTCTTTGCTCATTTTAAATTTCTAGAATACCGTATTAAATAACTTCAAAGATAGTTCATGGCAACTAAGCAACACCTTAATAATTTAAATTAAAATTCACATTTGAAATACATGTTGGAAAAATGGAGAAAGCAAATTTTCTTTTATACTTTTATTTTCTCTTTGTGTTTTTCTTTCCTGAAAAATAAATATTCCATACTCTAGTTTATTTTTTAATTATTAAAATTGTTGATCTGAGATTTAGATAGACGAATATATCAGCTAGTTGTTGTATAATCTCTGGAAATCTAAATTTAAAAGTTGAATAAATATAGAGTTGTAAAATTTCTCTCTCCCTTGCTAGTAATGAGAAATGGAGAAAAGGGGTGGCAATACAAATATTAATTCAAAGGATTTGAATATTAAAAAGAAAAGTTTTCTAGAAGCAATAGAAAATATTCTGTAGGATATATTTTATTTGTGATTATTCTGTAAAGTGGCAGCATCTAAAAGTATGTCTTAACCTATGAAAATAGTAAATCCTCCTTACAAATGTTTTGCAGGAAAGGTCACTACCATGAGATTTGCAGTGATTTTCTTTTGCCTAGTAGGCATCGCCTACTCCTTCCCAGTGAGTACAGCTGAATCTTAAAATTCTTGAGAACAAATAAATCATGTGCTTCCCTGTACTAGGAATACTTTCACACTGCAATTTCTTTTCCATCTTTTCTCTCTGAAAGGTTAAACAGGCTGATTCTGGCAGCTCTGAAGAAAGGCAGGTAAGCACGTTTTAGGTTTATCATGTAGTTAAATTATGCAACTTTTGCGAGAGGTGCTGTAAACATATTTGTTGCAATTTTATCTTCATAGTCAATCCTATGAATTTTTAAGTATTTATGACTGCTTGCTCTAGATCTAAGCCAGTAGCAAGCATGGTATACTTTTTAATGAGTATTCTCATAAAACTAGATGTTTTCATATAATAACATAATGCTCTGGGCCATTGTCACTTATACAAAATTGGTTCTGTAAAATTCTGTGAGTTTTTTTTTCCCTAAGAGTCAACATGCTGTTGGAGAAGCAGAAAATTCCATCCTTTGCTTTATTTTGTGAAACGATGAGTTTAAAATTCACCTCAGATGTTAGAACTGTTGGTATGACCATAATAGTCACAGCATTGCCTAAGATTTTAATAAGAAGCCCATTGTGAAAGTCTATTTATGCTGTTTTTATCTATTGTGTTCATCAGCTGACTTTAGATCACATTTTCTAACCGAGCATAAGACCAAACCAAATGCTTTCTTACAATTATTTGACTACCATGGCAGAGGTACCTGCCCCTCCACAATAGATGAAACTGTGCCAGAGGAATAACAAGTGGGCCTTGTCCAGAGGATTTTGGACAAAAAGGCACACAGAGTTCAAACCCAGATGAATGGAATAGAGGCCAGTGTAGAGTTGCCTGGGGTCATGGCAGTTAGATTGCTTAATGAAGACAGCAGAGAGGTGTTCTTTCTTAGTCTGTGTGATCCAGCTGTGTGTGGTGTGTGAGTGTGTGCAGGTGTGTCAGGATGCATGTTTAAAGGACACATGAAGTCATGGCAGTGTATCATTAAATGGTCTTCAGAAAGTAAGTGAAGAGCTCAACGCTCAGCCTTTCAGAATCCCAGACATTTAGAGGAGCTGGTAGGAAATACAAGAAAGTCTGTAAGGATTCAGTCCTGAAGATGAGCACTGGGAGTGCTTCTCTGGGAGTGTGAGGATCACTGAATTTTTTTAAAAGTTTTAAATTTAATTTTATTTTTAATTATTGGGGAAGGAACCTGGAGGTACTTTACCCTGAGCTATATCCTCAGTCTGTTAATTTTTAAATTTCGAGATAGGGCCTTGCTAAGTTGCTGTGGGTGTCACTAAGTTGCTGAGGCTGGCCTCAAAACTTGCAGTTCTCCTGCCTCAGCCTCCAGAGTTGCTGGGATTACAGATGTGCCATCACGCCTAGGCTCTGAATGTTTCTTAGTCTGTTAACTTTGTTTATATTTTCTTCATGTGACTTTTTGAATTATAGATTTAACTTATAGTCTACTTGGGCCTGTATTCATATGCCATCAAGGAAAAACAATATATATCGCAGTAATTTTTGCATCTTTTTCAGGCCAGCAACCTCTTCTTTCAGCAAAATCTTTAGAGAAGCCCAATATTAAGCTGCTCTGTTTAGAGTCAGCCATGAGAGAAATCCTAAGTCTTACTGTCTAGTTCCTTCCCTGCTCACCTCTCCTTCATGTGGCTGTGGAGGGGACTGTGTGGCATCCCCAGGGTTCTCATTTTCAAATGACAGAGCTGTGAAGTGATTGGGCCAGGGCAATACAGCCTGTCAGATGACACTCACCAGAGCAATTTCTATTTCTCTGCATTGATCTATCATTACTTTCCATATAGATTAATTTGGCTAAAGGAAAGCCCATTCCACTTACATTTTTGTCACATTAGAGCAATAGAACTTATGTGCAATGTTGTTTTTTGCTGTATTTCTTACTATCTGATAAGACAGCCACTAGACACAGGTGGCTATTAATAATTCAAAATGTGGCTCGTGCAACTGAGGAAGTAAAATTTTTAAATATTTAAAAATTGTAATTAACTTAGATTTAAATAACCACATGTGGTTAAATATACTATATGAGACAGCATTGCCTTAGAGAGTTTATCTTTGTTCTGAAAAGAAAAGAACAGTGAAGATGAACGGAAATTAAGTGCATCTCTGCTCCAGGGATGCTTTATCAGAGAGAGAAATTCATCCAGCAGAGATAGAACAGCAAAGTGTAATGTTAAAATCAGTTTTGAGGGCTAGTAAGCCTGAATTTGAACTCTGAATCTGCCTCTTATTATCAGTTAACCACATTGTGACTGAGTTTCCTTATTTGTAAGATGGGGAAACTAGTGGTAAACATTATCAGAGTGTATTAAAGGAATCAAGTAAATTAATATTTGTAAAACACTTTGAAAGAATGCTTGGCCCATAGTAGGTTCTATTAAGTTCAATAAATGAATCTACAAGTAAAAGTAAGTTATAAAAAGGGTATCTAAAATATGTTTAAATGAATGCATATTATGTTTATCCATCCGGATTAGTATAGTTGTTTTTCAATAGTTGGATATAGTTACATAACATTTTGATATTCCTTGGTTTTTTTCTTTCTTTTTTTTTAATATTGACAAATATGCACCTTTTCATAGCTTTACAACAAACACCCAGATGCTGTGGCCACATGGCTAAAGCCTGATCCATCACAGAAGCAGAATCTCCTAGCCCCACAGGTATTCCTAAATTTCTCAAAACTAAAACCAGGTCATTCAGGCTGGTAAAATGGTCCTTCCAACCTGTTGGGAAATGCATGCTCGGGACACCAATTGGTCAGCATGTTGGCCTTTTCCACTCTAAGACATCGACCACTGAGGCTGAAAAATACGACCTTCTTTGGACTGAAAAATTAATTTTGAATCAAAACAACTGAGAATGTATGATGTACACTAACATGTCATTTCCTCCTCCAGAATGCTGTGTCCTCTGAAGAAAGGGATGACTTTAAACAAGAGGTAAATTCTCACTTTAATCAAAGACCCACCACTTGAGACATGGAAGAAGCTGGAATCTCTTATCAAATTCCATTAGCAAGTTTCCTAGTAAATCAGCAGTCTAAAACTTGCTCAGTAAAATAATATGTATTCACTAACTGTCAGAACTACAGGTTTCCTCAGATAAGTGTAGTGTTGCAGAAAATGTCTACTAATGCCTATTACTTGAAACATTAAGCTTCTTGGCATTTATTTAAGGTTTTTCAAATATGTCTTATATAGTACCCGATACACATGGGATTAATGTTTACCAAAGTCAAGGTTTTTTGCCTTTAGAATATTTTTGTTCTTAACACAATAGTTGGTTTGATAACTATTCTTTTTATTAAGACTATAAATGTATTTTTTGAGCAAGGAGATAAATCTATTTTCCATTAAAATTCAACTTGTATATGCTAAAATTGCTAATAAGGAAAATTAGATGAATGATACATTACTGGCTGATTAGAATTTTAATAGACATTTAATGATTAATTCAGTGGACATATTTAAGCTGTGGTTTATACACATATGCATAGCAGAGTCATCTTTTTATTATACATGATAATAGGGATGTGGTTATAGGTTTTGTATACACATTAAAATATGAATTATCTGATAACTTCAGAATTTTCATTTAAAATAGAAAAATCAACCTTATAATTATGTGTCTATTTCTACTACATCATTTAACTTGTAAAATAAATAATGTCTAACATGTATAGAAAAAGTAATGTTGTAATATGAACATTATACTCAGATATTTGTCTTAGAAATATCTATGAAAATTATTTTTTACTGGAAAGTAAGAAAAGTACCCTAGAGCATATTTCACTTATTGTTGTGTTAAAAGAGACATTGGAAGACACTCACTTCATAGAGTATATTGTAATTGCAAAGATTGTGAAACTAAATAAAAGAAAAATTAAAGACTTGCACAATAAAAGCTGAGGGAACATAAAAACCAGAGACACTAATTTGTTGTACTGTCTTGACTTTCAGACCCTCCCAAGTAAGTCCAATGAAAGTCATGACCACATGGACGATGTGGATGATGACGATGATGGAGACCACGTGAACAACCAGGACTCTACTGACTCAGATGACTCTGATGAGGATGATTCTCACCATTCCGATGAGTCTCACCATTCTGATGAATCAGATGAAGTGGTCACTGAATCTCCCACTGATGGTCCAGACACCCCGGTTTTCACTCAGATTGTCCCCACAGTAGAAACCTATGATGGCCGAGGAGATAGCGTAGATTATGGAGTGAGGTCAAAGTCTAAGAAGTTCTACATTTCTGAAGTCCAGGTAAATCCTTTAAAAGACACATCCAATGGTAATGAAGAGAATTCAGTTCTAGGAAATCAGAGTCTGCATACTTCTTTATCATTCATCAAGCAAGCAAATATTTATTAATAATCTATGATCATTAAATACAAAACTTTTTCCACTTGGTGGTTTTTAAGTTCACACAATTTCTTCCAAATTTTTCCACTCCAACACAATTCTATGTGTCCAAATTCTGTCTCCAAAGCATTTGATATAATTATTTTTTTAGATTAAAAAAGACTTCAGAAAACAATGATTGTTTGCAAAATATGAGGTTCATATTTTTATAACTAAGAGGAATTTTAGAGTCACTAACTGTATTGAACCCAGAGGCAAAGGATCAAGATATGGCCTAGCTTCACACTTAGTATTCTTTTCATAATTTAACTCTCAGAGTTGTGTTCTCTTTATGTAAATTGGAGATAATGAGACTACCTCAAAGGTTTCATTATATAGGTAAATGATGTACCTATTAACTCAAGGACGTGACTTATGTGAAAGGGGCTGGTAAAGTACTTAGCAACATGCTAGAATTCTTATTTCCTTCAACCAAATTTAGACAATGTTTAGAATAATTTGGCCTAAACATTACAGAGAGCTAAAAAGAATTCTAATGTTCCCATCCTTGACTGTTCATATCATTCTTCTTCTGTCTGTGCTCTGGTTCAGTATCCTGATGCTACAGACGAGGATCTCACCTCACACATGGAGAGCTCAGAGCTGAACGATGCTCACAAGGCCATCCCTGTTGCCCACCGCCTGAAAGTGCCCTCTGATTGGGACAGCCATGGGAAGGACAGTCATGAAACCAGTCAGCTGGATGACCACAGTGTGGAAACCCACAGCCAAGAGCAGACCAGGGAATACAAGAGGAACGCCCGTGATAACAGCAGTGAGCACTCTGATGTGATTGACAGTCAGGAAAGTTCCAGAGTCAGTCAGGAATTCCAAAGCCACGAATCTCATAGTAAGGAAGACAAGCTGGTCCTAGACCCTAAGAGTAAGGAAGATAAACACCTGATATTTCATGTTTCTCATGAAATAGAGAGTGCATCCTCTGAGGTCAATTAAAAAGAGAAGGGAAAAAATGTACAATTTCATATTTTACTCCTAATAAAAAGAAAACATACATTATAGAGATTGAAAGACAATACTCAATGCTTATTTCTCAGTTTAGTGGGTGAATGGATATGTGGATCAGGAAATAGATAATGTTTTTGATCATTAGCTTGTAGCTTTGTCATGGTAACACCCTTGTAACCTAAAAGCTTCAGCATGTTGTCTACATCTTTTCTATTGAAAAAATGCAAACTATCACTGTATTTTAATATTTGTTATTCTTTTATGAATAGAAAGGTATATAGAAGCAAAAGATACTTATACACACTTAAGAGAATATAACATTTTATGTCACTTTAATCTTTTGTTTTTTTAAATGAGTGTATATTTTGTTGTGATTATTTTTGTTGGTGTGAATAAATCTTGTATCTGAATGTAATGAATATGGTGGAGTCAATTATTTATTTGCTTTCCCACAGTAGTCTTGGAATTAGTAACATGTAACCATTCTAACTAATCTGCTGCATTTGACAGAGATCCTGCTGGGGTCAGAGACAGGATCCACTAACCATTTTTTGGCTGAGCTTAAGTTCCTAGACAATGAAACCAGGGTCTGGGAGCTGATACTCAGCTATAATGCCTCCAGCCATGCCAAAAAAGTCTTTTTACTAATTTTAACATAGCTGATACAGAAACTAACAAAAGCCTAGATGCAATCACAAATCTGTTGTATTTTTTCTCATCACAACTCATTAAATTTGGACAGTTAACTTTTTTATTTCCTGCCTTTGATGAAACCTTATGCAGGTATGATAGCTATTCTGATCACTCTTAGATAAGAAAGAGACAGACCCTTTGTAACAGAAACATTTTAAATGCTGTTTCAAGTATAATCAGAATTCAAATTTTCATCAAAACTAAAACTATGGAAGACCGAGTAGAGCAGGCTTCTTCAATTCCATGTTTTGCTCTTCTGCTGTTTCTGAAACCTGATATTCTATTTAGAAATTCAAAGATTGCCTATTTTCCCTTGGGACAAAAGAAGAAAAATTAAAACCGTAGAATATTTAAAAAAAGAAACATTGAAGACAAAAATCAATATAATATAGTTAATCCAATAATCACAGGAATACTGATAGCTTTACATCCTTGCAACAAAACAAAAAGAATAAAATTAAGTGAATTGAGCTCTAGTCTTAAAAATTAGAAAAGAGCTACAAAACAAAGCAAAAGAAAGAAATGATAATATGAGAAGTAAAAGTAATGAGATAGAGAACCGGATAAAAAGAAACTAATAAATCAAAACACTAGGACTTTGGGGAAAAAATCAACAACATAGATAAACCACTAGCCAACCTAATAATGAAAAAAAAGGCAGAAATCACAAATAAGAAATAAAAACAAGGAGATAGCCAATTAAACTTAGAACACCTCAAAAATAAAAAAGAAACTATTTGTCACAACTGTATTCAAATCAAAAGGTAAACCTAGATGACTTAGATCTTTTTCTTGGAAAACAACACAGGTGATCCTTGACTTCTGATGGAGTTACATTCAGATAAACCCACTGAACCTTTGAAATATTATAAGTCAAAACTGTACTCAATGAACAAAATGTCAAACATTACAGCTTAGCAACACTGTATACTATGCAGCATCAGCTGCTTTCCCTCCTGATCATGTGGATGACTGGTTCCTATGGCTCACTGCCACTATCCAGCATCATGAGAGATCATCATACTGTGTATCATCATCATGGGAATTCATAGTGTGAGTTCTACTGAACGTCTATAATTTTCATACTTGTTATAAGTTGAAAAATCTTAAGTCAAACCATCAGGAGTCATCTCTATACCAAAATCAACTCTGGAATGTTCAGAAATAAACATACAAATTTCCATTGAGGAAAGAGAAAAAATAACTACAAAAAATATAAAGAATTAGCTATAAAAAAACTAATTCCAAATAATTTGACAGGAGAATTCTATCAAATTGTCGAAAACTAGATAGTCTCAATGCCACTCAAATTGTAGTAGAATAAAATAAAAAACATCTCTCAAATGATCTTTATTCCACTATTATAATCAATTCTGAAAAAGATTGCATGCAGATATGCATGTACACACACACAAAAAAAAAAAAAAAAAAAAAAAACTACAGACCAGTCTCATTCATGACTAGCACTGGAAAACGCCTAAATAAAATGTCAGCAAGCAAAATGTGAAATCAAGCTCAAAGAAGCCCTCAAAATCAAAGAAAATTTATTCTAGTGCAATGGTGCTTCAATATAAGTAAGGTCATTCCTATAATTCACCATATGTTTGTGTCTAAGGAGAAAAATGTCATGTGATTAGATTTATAGATGATAAAAAATACTTTATATTTGTAAGCTCTTTCAGTGGCAATAATGAGCAGGATACACTCTCAGGGCTTTGCCACAGGTACTATTTACTTTTCTTCTTCCCCAGTTTGTAGTTGATCAGAGTGGTGGTGCTTGAGGGTGCAGGATGGATTTAGTTGTGCTCCACCTCTCTCTCAGTCTGGGAACAGCAACTGTCCCAAGGCAAGTCCTGATGGAAGGAGCAGAAACACAAGAGGAGTGAGCATAAACATGATGTGTTGCACTCAGAACTGAAACACTACTGTCTTTAATCAAATTTCATTGTTCAAAGCATGTCACATGGTTAAAGCCAGTATCAATGGACAAGTAAGACATACTTCCTTCACAGTGAATTGGAATAAATGAAGAGAAAAATGAAATAATAGTGAGCAAGTAATAACATGTTATATAGCTTGTGACATATTTGACATTCATTCCTAATTTTGTAACACAAAAGTTAAGGGATTCTTTCTTAATATGATGAAATATTTTATGCCTCAGCCCCCAACCAGTATCATCCTCGATGGAGAAACATTAGAGGCATTCCCATTTTAAGATCAAGGACAAAGCAAATATGCCCTCTATCTCCACCACTGTTCAGCACCATATTGAGATACAAATTTATGATATTAAACATGAGAATTGGGCAAATTATATTTCTATGTAGGTAAGAATCAATACTGAATATGGTAACTAATAAATTCTGTAAGTTTGTATGATATAAAATTGACCTAAAACATGCCCCCCAAATACAAACACTAACCACTTAGAAGACATGTCATTAATATAGAAAAAAAGATAAAATACTTAACAGAAAATGTATAAACAATGATACTATCAAAACTAAAACACTCCTAAAAGCCAAAGAAGAAGACTTGAACAAATGGAAAGATAGCATTTATTTTTTGTATTGCACTATTCAACACCATAAAAATGTCAGTTCTCTGCAAGTAATATACACATGTAATTTGATTCCAATAAACAATGAAAGTAAAAAATTCTCCTGGAGCTATGCAAGCTGCTTCTAAAGTTTATATGGAAAAATAAGCATAAAAATATGAAGACAGATTCTAAAAAATTACAGCAACAAGGGAGTTCTAACCAATATTAATATACACTATAAAGACTCTAAAAGAAATGTTGTGGTACTGGCACATGAATAGACAGATCTGTGGAAGGGAATAGTAAGTTCAGAAACAGATCCAAGCACATGTGGGATATTAATATATGAAAAAGGTGATATCCAAGACCACTTAGGAAAAGATGGACTTTCCAATATATGAGTTTGAGTGGCTTGATATCCATTTGGACAAAGATAAAATTGGAACCATATCTTACCCATATATCAAAATCAAAACAATATCCAAATACGCCAGAGATTTAAATTTAAAAGGAAGCCATTAAAACAATAGACAAATAGATGAGTGGGTTCCATTAAATCTGGGTATCAGAAAAACTTTTCTCCTATGACAAGGCAATCCCATACCACAGTCCTGGTAGGCATCATTAGTCAAGTGCCCCAGCATTTTGGGCTCCCAATGTACTTGCTTCAATTGGCACTTCATCACAATTAACTGCAGCTGATAGCCTAGTAATTGTGTAATCCGTACATGCCACAGAATGCAAGCATCTCATTTCCTATCAGGAACACTGCTCAGCACTGTGCTCAAATCCTAGGGCATCACCAAGTTTATCCCGAAATCACATCTTTCAGTAGTGGTACCAAACCCCAGTCTCTGGAACACTTCTTTATCAGTCAAGGTTCAGAAACAGAAAATTCACCAGTAATTTGAACAGGGAAACTTGAACATAAAAAATTATTAACTAGAAATAAGAGGTTAACCAGAGAGGATAAAAGACAAATTTGGTGAGGGCATAGGGATGAGATAAGGAACAATTTAAGCAGAGACTCATGCCTATTGGAAAAGGTGCAGCGACAGCCCCCAGGAGATGGTAGAGAAGTTTGTTGTGTCCGGTCCACAGCGGGTGGGCTGAAGTTGGTAAACAGGATACTGACCACAAGCGGCTAGAAAACCGAGGCTGGCGAGTAGGAAATCATGGGGCAGGGCAGCTGAGCTGGAAGCTGGAGAATTAGCACCAAAGCGGCTGCGCCTTAGAAGCAAGAAGAGCAAGGACACCCGGAACGCCTGAGCGGGCCGGTTCGTCAATGTCCCTCCAGCGCCCTCTACTGACAAAGCTCGGCATTGTGCAGCAAGATAAGGAAGCATGTTTGCAGGGTCCAACTCTAGAATCATAAAGCACAAGAGAGGCAATGGATTTGGAGCAGAATGGTAGTAAACTAACTGATAGTTGGACAGGCTTATTAGAAAAAAAGCCTAATTCCTGGTAAGAAGAGTAAAAAGTAAGCCTGGGACATCTTTTTATGATAGAATGAAAACAAACACTCAAAGACAACCTGGACTCCTATTCATGGTACTAAAAAGCAGGGACTCTCTATTGACCAACACCAGCTATTGAAATAAGTAGTAAAAAGAAAACTGTAGTAATGGATTGTAACAAATTGAATTTTAAAATTCCTTTCTTATATATAGTGATGGGTAGAGAGAGGTTAGGAGGAGAACATTTCTTTACAGACAAATGCAAACTAATAATAAATGCAGAAGAAATGATAAAATTAGAAAATAATTTCACAAGCCACAATGTAATAATTGATTTAGGAAGTTACCACTAGTGAATGTTAAAATCAGTGCATAAAATGTGACTGGGAACAGGTATTCATTTGGTCTCAATATATTACCCCACAAATTACTCAAAAATTTCAAAAGGAGGAAGGTGTTTTTAACTAGAATGATTTGGTAGTAAACATTTTAATCCAGTATTGAACTTAGTTTACCAATGAGACCATTAACTATGTCTCCTAGAATGTGATGAAATCAGAAGCATGCAACATCACTTATAAAATATTTCTCTAAATAATATTAGTGGGATCAGATCACTGAAAAATAGGTAAATACAGAATTTGAACTATTTTATAAAACATCCACCATGGACTTTCCAAAAAGAAGAGCTAACAAATAAAATAGAGACTGTCCAGTTAAGTTTGAATTTCAGAACAACAAATCATCCTTTAGTATAAACATAGTACACATTACACTGAAAGATAATCTATTGTTTATCTGACATCCAAATTAACTGAGCATCCTTAATTTTTATTTTCTAAATCTGTTAGTCTTTTAAAAAGGGAGTTGATGTAATGAGACATAAAAGACATGAAGATTCAAAGTCTAAAAGACACAACCAAGGATATAGCCAGCCAATGATTGTTTATTGGTTCCTGGATTAAAAAATACATAGAGTTATAAAAAAATGTAGAGATAATGGTGATGATCTGATTGTGCACAATATGAGAGATGATTTTGTAGAATTATCGTATATTTTTCAGGTGATAGTATTGCATTGTTTATGAAAGCAAATGTCCTTATTCTTAAGAAAACTATGTTGAATATTTAGGTATGAAGGTTCTTATAATTTTCTTTCTAATGGTTCAAAAAGGGGAAAAACAGTACTAGCAGGAAATGGGAAGAGGCAGGTAAGAAGATACAAACTAACAGATACAGAGGATGAATAAGTCTAGAGATTCAATGTACAATAATATGAGGGCTACAATTAATACCATCATACTGTGTATGAGATCCCTACTAAATGAGATTTTAATCCTTCCTGCCACAAGACAAAACAAGAAAAGGGTAAAAATGTGAGATCATGGATATGTTAATTTGCTTCATTATAGTAAACTTTTTGAAATATATATGTATGTGTCTGTATATATATATATGTATATATACACATATATATATATAACTCCCATAACATGTTGTATACCTTCAATATACAAAATAAAATTTATTTTAAAAAAATAAGTAAAGTGGCATACAGAAAGAGAAAATGAGTATGGCAAAATGTCTTATTCTTTCAACTTTGCACAAGGTTTGAAAATCTTCTGAAAATTGAGAGGAGAAGGAAAGAGTAGGCAGAATAAAAGTGAGTGTATAATGAATAAAGTCCATAAAAGAATATCTCAAATATTATTGATATAAAAGTGTCAGAACACTTTCTTCATTGTTCAGCTCATGAAATTATGGAAACAGCATTCATAAATTATTATAAATTATAAAACAATGTTTAAACCAATGTCCCATCACCTTCCATATCCCCATAGTAGATACTCACTTTGGAGGAGCTCTTCTTAGTCTGAGAATCTATTCATCATTCTCTTGTGGCAACTATATGACCTCATTGTGATTCAAACTCTTTATTTCTGGTTCCTGGCAAGGCCTCTCCCCTCAGCCACTTCCATTTTCTACACTCCTAGTAACAGTGTCTCCAAATACTGTTTGATTGCAATTGCAGCATTAAGAACCAAGTCTCCTATGGTGCTCAGTCTAGCCTGTGGAGTCAGACACAGACAAAGAACAGTAACGAGCAATTCTGATATTGATATGTGCCAAGCATGCAAACAGGACTTTAAAAACATCATTGTGGAGATTGAGGAAAAGGCTATTTTCTACTTTGAAAATTCACAAGGCAATTTTCTGTACCTATTTGATATGGCAAATTCATACACTGAAGCATAATTATGTTCTTCTTCACTTGAAACACCCATTCCCAAATCATAAATTCTCTCCAACATTGCAAATTCAACTTCAGTGTTATTTTTAAACACTTTCTTCACCTTACCTATTTTTTTTTCCAAATACCATAGTGGTTCATGTCTAATTAATATGATATGGTATTTTAATCCAACTAGCAGCTAGATATTATCCATTAGACCTAAATCTCTAATAGTATACCCTCCTAAGATGAAATTAATCCTAGAGATCCATGTAGCTGAATATGTTCAGCTTGTCACATTGAAAGAAACATAAGGTAGCCAACAAAGAGATAAAAGATCAGTTTTCTCTGAGGTTCTATAATGAGAATGTGAAGCAGTCCTAAAGAGAAATCCAAAAGTAGGATTCTAAAGTGTTCTATCACCAATGTTGCTCATAACATATCAAGACTATACTTGAAGTTATTTTTTTTTAAAGAGAGAGTGAGAGGAGAGAGGGAGAGAGAGAGAGAGAGAATTTTTAATATTTATTTTTTAGTTCTTGGCGGACACAACATCTTTGTTGGTATGTAGTGCTGAGGATCGAACCCGGGCCGCACGCATGTCAGGCGAGCGCGCTACCGCTTGAGCCACATCCCCAGCCCTACTTGAAGTTATTATTTTAATATTATTAAATATAATATTTAATAATATTTTAATATTATTAAAATAATAAAAGTACTGATTAAATAAAAGTACTCATGTTTTGCTTTTGGAAGGCAGGGAAAAGTAATACAGGCCTTTCTCTAGGTGCAGCTCCAACACTGGACATGCATAATTTTCCTCTTTATTCCTGAGAGGAATAAAGAGAAGAAGGGGCTTAAGTGCTGATGCCAGGCAGATTTGATGCAGCAGTTCCTAGACCTCTCATATGAGAAAAACAACCATTTAAGATCTCAGCCCAAGAAACTAGAAAAAGAAGGGCAAAACAAATCCAGAGTAGGCAGAAAAAAGGAATAATAAGGAGAAGAATAGAGATCAATGAAACTGAAAACAAAGAAAATTAAACAAAGTGCTCATTCTTTAAAAAATAAGTAAATTCAAAATCTTCTAGCAAGATGGTTAAACAAGAAGTTAAAAGACACATGTTCACATCAGGAAATAAAGGTAAAAGACCACACAGATCCTGTAGCCATTAAAGGTAATTAGGGAATGATAGTATTATGAGCTGAATGTATTCCCTTAAAAAAGAGATATCAAAGATCTAACATCCAGTATTTCAGTAAGTGACCTTATTTGGAAAGACTTGTTGCAGAGCTAATTGGTTTAGTTCAAATGAAGTCATACTGGAGCACAGTGTGCTCCTAAAGCAATATGATAGATATCCTGATACGAAGAAGGCTATGTGCAAATAGAGATGCTCAGGGAGAGATGGATGGTATACACTGCTGCAAGCCAAGGAACACCACATACTGTGGAAACGACCAGAAGCTAGAAAGAGACAAGGGAGGATTCTCCAATAGAGGTTTCATAATTCTTAGGCATAAATACTTAGGCTAAGTGCCTTTCCTTTAAGAGGGAGAACAAAGCATGGATGTCCACTCTCATAACTCCAACTCAACATAGAACTGGATGCAATATAGAACTGGATAGAACTCACTGCAATCAGACAAGAAAAACAAATAAAAGCCACATAGATTAGAAGAGAAGAAAAGGCACTATTTCTATTTTTAGATAACATCATTATGTTGAAAATCTATATAGACATTCCCAGAACTAATAAATGAGTTCAGCAAAATTACAGAATAACAGAATTAACTCAAAAATCAATTAAATTCCTATATTCTGTCAACGAACAAATAGAAACCCAGAGCACACATCACACAAAGGACTTATATCAAGTTTATAAATGTCCCAATTCCCTAGCCACTGATAAGAGTCTGACCATTCAATTCAAGTCTGACACTAAGTACTCAAGAGTCAGTGCAGGCTCCAAAAGCTAAAGGGATCAGTCTCATAAGACTGAACTCACTTCACATACCAGTTGCGCAAGACTTAGGTCCCCAGGACACCCACACTGATGTCCAGTGTGGCTACAAAATCAGGATTTCCATGACTCTCTTCAGGTTTAATAGCTCATTGGAACAATACACAAAACTCAGAAACATACTTGCCTGTGTTTACTGGTTTGTTATAAAGAGTGCAACTCAGGGAAAGTTGACTAGAATGGATGAATCAGGCAAGGCAGGGAGAGGGGGTGTGCAAAACTTCCATGCTTTTTCCAAATTGCTGCCCTCTGAGCTCCTCTGTGTGTTCACCAACTTGGAATTCCTGGAAACTCATGTTTTAGGGGGTTTTACTGGAGGTTTTATTATGTAAGGCATGATTGATTAGATCATTTGCCAATGGTGATTAAACTGGGTTGCCAGCCCCTCTGCCCTCCACAGAGGTTAGGGAGTGGGGCTGAAAAGCTCCAACCCTCTCATTATGGCTTGCTCTTTCTGGCAACTAGCCCCCTCTTGAAGCTATTCAGGGACCCAGCCACCACTCATATATTTAACACAAGAAAGGCAGTAGTCACTCCTGAGAATCTGAGTATTTTAGGAGCTATGTGCTGGGAACCAGAAACTCAGATTAACTTTTTCAATTATTATTATATCATAATAAGGAGCTCTCAAAAGTTAAAATTTAAAAATCAAACAATGCAACTGAAAAATAGACAAAAGATGTTCCCTGACATTTCACTGAAGAGG